ATATGTATACCATTGCAACGAGCTCGCTTTTATAGGCCTCCCCATAAGAGAGGTGCTCCAAGTTGCTCTATTTTCTGTCAAAGTAAACTGACCAGGGCCTATGATCTCTGGGGAGCAAGGCTGAAGGAATTGTGGTGCCTAGCTTGTCTCTGTTCCTCGATGATAGGGTTTTGCCTCTGCCAAAGCCTTCTCTCACTAAGTTCAGTAGAGTTCGCTTCTATACCTATTCTACGGTAAGGTGCAGCGGCTCGAGTTAGGAAATCACCACCAACACTGCCATCGGACATGTGCGCATTGCCCCCTTAACGAATACATATGCCAGGCGTTGAAGCTTGATGAGGGATTGCCGTACCGTGGAAAAGGTGGTTTTCGAGACCCAAGCGACCGATCCATAACGAACTATTTGTCTAACTATCATGGTATATATCCACCATGTTTTTTATGTGCCCGGTCGACACCAACATGAGAGGTGTTTTTAAATGCCCCCTCAATGATGAAGGCACGGAGTACTATCTCAACACACCCAAGGGCGGCACCTTGTACTTCCGTAGGCAGGGCGTACAGTGCAGAGTCCGTACACCTGCACACTCTGTAGGCATGCTGGTCAGTGTGTAAAGGATCCTGTTTAAGAGTGTTGTTCCTGATTTCAGGGTCGATGACCTTCTCCATTGCCTTCAGCAGGAAGTAGGTTAGACTTATCGGCGTGAAAGGCTTAACGAGAGAGTAATATGCCTTTCCTATATTCAGAATAACTATAACGCGAGCCTTTTGCCACACCATTTGGGCTGCACCTTCCCTCTTGGTTTCGTCTCGGTACAGCTGGAGTGAAAGGCATCCATTATAGCGCCGTTCACCTCGTTAACGGAGTTTTCTAACCTCAGACAGTCGACGTGCCTGTTATAAGACTGAACTTCAGTTAGGTTTATCCATAAAGTCTCGCTGTACTTATCCCAGTCAGTTTTCCTGGAGTTCTTATTTGCAGGCCTTGTTTTGACCTCAGCTCCTAGTACAAATTGGATAATTCTGTGGTCTGACAGAGAGGGTTCTGCCGAGACAAGATTAAAATTAAGTTCAAGTTTAAGATTAAGACTAGGGTTAAGATTAAGATTAATGAGAGTTGCATGAATTGCATGACTGACACTCATCATACCAAGTATTTAAAGTAAACATCTTTTCATATTTCCAATGCAAAAAATTTATAGTTTATTCTGTTGTTATTATTTTCGTACACTCATTCTTATGTTTTACTTGTAATAATTTGTTTATACTTAGAATAAATATAACACTTTTACAAAATATCATATATGTATGTGTGTATACCTTCGTGTATTTATATTAGTATGTGGGCATATTGGTGGTACTTAAAGTTTAAATAAAATTGTAAAATTATTGACCTAAAATATGATATATTAAAACCAAAATGAAAAAATTAATAAACTAATAAACTAAATCATGGGTGGTCAATGGTGTGCTTAAGTAACATAGAAAATCACAAAAATATTTGAAGTGCTTAAAGTGAAGACTTTTTTCTTGCATAACGCATGGCTTGCAGCAATCAATTACATATGTATTCGTATTCGGTTTTTTCGGACTGAGTTTCAAAATTGACTTACATACCCATACATATGTAAATGTACATATATATGTACATGTGCAGTAAATGACCATTGCCATTTAAATTTGTACAAATCAAATTTTCCAGTTCAACAAAAAATTTTGGTTGTAACTGCGAAAATTACCATAAATACCAGATCTCAATTTGAGCTAAATTCTTTTACAAAGCTCGTCGTTTTAAATAAGCACAACGGATTCAAGCCAGTATGAAAATGCAAATTCTTTTCTCCTGCTTGTTTTAAACATGCAAGAAATTACGATAATTCCTAAAATATTCATTTGTAAATAAAGCACGAAATTTAAAAAATAAATAAATAAAAATAAAAGCAGGTAATTCTTAAGCAAAAAAACAAAAGCGACTTCAATTCCCATATAAAAATTTGAGATGATCGGATTTAAACCAAATTAATATGGGACCACCTATGAGGATAAAAAAAAAAATATATATTCCGAAGAACTGATAACCTCTCTCCATTTTGTGAAGTCGTTTAATAATAAATAAGGCGTCTTTTCAGAAAATTTTCAAAGATATACTAATTATAAATATAATAATAACAAAAATATGCTAAAAATCGGTTCTAAATATAGAGGTTTTTGATTGTTTTTTAGGTAATTGTGTAATATCCACGACAGCATCCATCCACATCTAGAGTGTAAAAATCTTATGGAACTTCCGAAAAACATTGGTAAAATAACCGACTTGATAAAATAAAAAGATTGCATATATGTATGTAGTACATATAGGCTTTGAACAGCTGTGATTTACATATTTTTCTAAACATTTTATATTTTTTCCCTGATTAAATACATAACATATAAACGGCAGTAGTTGGTATATAAATAATCTGCTTTATCCTTAGTTTCCCTCGAAAAAAAAAAATTTACCTGAAAATGTTTCATCTGCCCATAGTAAAGATAGGGAAGCCAAAAGTGAAAAGTGAAACTCATGACAAGGCTGAATAAAAAAATATATATGTTTTTCATAAGATCTTTAGAAAAAGCGGGAAAAAACAACAGAAGTGAAAATAATGCTTAATATACAGTGCACAGTGGCCCAAAACTGGAATTTACAGTTTAAAATATGTTTATGTTAGAATTTTTTTAGTGCAACGTGTAGAGAAAGTAGCCATTTTGAGGAATATCGAGTATCCTATTCCTGTTAATAAATGTTACATAAAAAAATTTGTTGAAAAGAATCATACATAAGGTTACCGGAAAGAACAAAAAATTGCAAAGTAAAAGTTCAATGTGCTTATTCATAAAAAATAAAATAGCTTTCAAAAGACATTTTCATACAAATTTTCGATTGATAAAGCAGTTAAAGTCTTCTTTATTTTTGTAAATTTTGGTGTAAATTTATAAAAACTTTTCCGCATTATTAGATTTTCGAAACCGAAAAATTGACTTTTTCGCTCCACCCTAATACTCAAAGAGAGGCCTCATATATGTGGCATTTTTGTTTCTTGGTGGAAAGATTGAAAAATTTAATACAAATTTAAGTTATTTAGTTGCAATTTTTTTCAAACCGCCTTATTTTATTAAATATTGTAGATAATCTAATAGGTTAAATGAAACTGAGTTAAGGCTTTTCTGTATTAAGGTAACGATATGTGCTTACATATGTACATATATCTACATATATGTATAAGGGGTATATACTAATCCTGATTTGAATGGCAAGACTGTTAATATTTTGCAGTTGAACGTTTCTTAGCGTGAATCTATTTGTAGCGCAGTCAAACTAGTGTTGAAAATTTGGCATCCGACAGATTTTTTGCATGGTGTTTTTTTGAATACTATGTGGGCACCATCTTGAAAAAAAAGGCAGTTAATAGCCAATTTCTCCAACACGCTAGAGCAGCAACATATTTTGGAACCTCAACCCAACTGAGCCTAATCGTTTTTTGCTCCACCATATTGGTAGTGCGGCTTGCCACGATTGGCTTGTTTTTGTTAAAGCGTATTTTTTTATTTTTTTTTCTAAAATAGTCCCCATATGTACCGAAATCTGTTGTGTTGCTCTCCAACTTAAGAGTTATGGGTCATTCAGGCAGGTTCTGCAAATCACTTCGGTGTATATCAATAAGACTCAATTTGAATTCAAAGCGAACTGGTTGAAAGTCACTCTGAAGTGAATTGCAGAATTGCTTTCCGATAAAAAAAGTATTATCTGAAACGGTTTACGTAGTTTAAATGAATCGAATAACATAAGTAAAAAAATATTCGAAGAATTTATAACCAAAATAAACAAAAAATATAAATAACAAGAAATAAAAAAATACATATATGTATATTGGGTACTTTTCAGTGCCGTTTTCTCAAGGTTTTAAAATTTATTCGTAATTGTATTTAAGGGCAGATACATTTTAATACCTACCTGAG